TCATCAACGGGTCAGTCGAATTTGCCAGTGAGGACGGTCACTCTGGTCAATCCACAGACGGATACTTGTCAGTACCAGATGGTCACTCAAACGGGTTAGTCACATTTGTCAGTGAAAACCGTCACTCTAGTCAATCCACAGACGGATACTTGTCAGTACCAGATGGTCACTCAAACGGGTTAGTCACATTTGTCAGTGAAAACCGTCACTCTAGTCAATCCACAGACGGATACTTGTCAGTACTAGATGGTCAATCAAACGGGTTAGTCACATTTGTCAGTGAAAACCGTCACTCTCGTCAATCCACAGACGGATACTTGTCAGTACCAGATGGTCAATCAAACGGGTTAGTCACATTTGTCAGTGAAAACCGTCACTCTAGTCAATCCACAGACGGATACTTGTCAGTACCAGATAGTCACTCAAACGGGTTAGTCACATTTGTCAGTAAAAACCGTCACTCTAGTCAATCCACAGACGGATACTTGTCAGTACCAGATAGTCACTCAAACGGGTTAGTCACATTTGTCAGTGAAAACCGTCACTCTAGTCAATCCACAGACGGATACTTGTCAGTACCAGATGGTCATTCAAATGGGTTAGTCACATTTGTCAGTGAAAACCGTCACTCTGGTCAATCCACAGACGGATACTTGTCAGTACCAGATGGTCACTCAAATGGGTTAGTCACATTTGTCAGTGAAAACCGTCACTCTAGTCAATCCACAGACGGATACTTGTCAGTACCAGATGGTCACTCAAACGGGTTAGTCACATTTGTCAGTGAAAACCGTCACTCTAGTCAATCCACAGACGGATACTTGTCTGTACCAGATGGTCACTCAAACGGGTTAGTCACATTTGTCAGTGAAAACCGTCACTCTAGTCAATCCACAGACGGATACTTGTCAGTACCAGATGGTCACTCAAATGGGTTAGTCACATTTGTCAGTGAAAACCGTCACTCTAGTCAATCCACAGACGGATACTTGTCAGTACCAGATAGTCACTCAAACGTGTTAGTCACATTTGTCAGTGAAAACCGTCACTCTAGTCAATCTACAGACGGATACTTGTCAGTACCAGATGGTCACTCAAACGGGTTAGTCACATTTGTCAGTGAAAACCGTCGCTCTAGTCAATCCACAGACGGATACTTGTCTGTACCAGATGGTCACTCAAACGGGTTAGTCACATTTGTCAGTGAAAACCGTCACTCTAGTCAATCCACAGACGGATACTTGTCAGTACCAGATGGTCATTCAAATGGGTTAGTCACATTTGTCAGTGAAAACCGTCACTCTAGTCAATCCACAGACGGATACTTGTCAGTACCAGATGGTCACTCAAATGGGTTAGTCATATTTGTCAGTGAAAACCGTCACTCTAGTCAATCCACAGACGGATACTTGTCAGTACCAGATGGTCATTCAAATGGGTTAGTCACATTTGTCAGTGAAAACCGTCACTCTGGTCAATCCACAGACGGATACTTGTCAGTACCAGATGGTCACTCAAATGGGTTAGTCACATTTGTCAGTGAAAACCGTCACTCTAGTCAATCCACAGACGGATACTTGTCAGTACCAGATGGTCACTCAAACGGGTTAGTCACATTTGTCAGTGAAAACCGTCACTCTAGTCAATCCACAGACGGATACTTGTCTGTACCAGATGGTCACTCAAACGGGTTAGTCACATTTGTCAGTGAAAACCGTCACTCTAGTCAATCCACAGACGGATACTTGTCAGAACCAGATGGTCATTCAAATGGGTTAGTCACATTTGTCAGTGAAAACCGTCACTCTGGTCAATCCACAGACGGATACTTGTCAGTACCAGATGGTCACTCAAACGGGTTAGTCACATTTGTCAGTGAAAACCGTCACTCTAGTCAATCCACAGACGGATACTTGTCAGTACCAGATAGTCACTCAAACGGGTTAGTCACATTTGTCAGTAAAAACCGTCGCTCTAGTCAATCCACAGACGGATACTTGTCAGTACCAGATAGTCACTCAAACGGGTTAGTCACATTTGTCAGTGAAAACCGTCACTCTAGTCAATCCACAGACGGATACTTGCCAGTACCAGATAGTCACTCAAACGGGTTAGTCACATTTGTCAGTGAAAACCGTCACTCTAGTCAATCCTCAGACGGATACTTGTCAGTACCAGATGGTCACTCAAACGGGTTAGTCACATTTGTCAGTGAAAACCGTCACTCTAGTCAATCCACAGACGAATACTTGTCAGTACCAGATAGTCACTCAAACGGGTTAGTCACATTTGTCAGTGAAAACCGTCACTCTAGTCAATCTACAGACGGATACTTGTCAGTACCAGATGGTCACTCAAACGGGTTAGTCACATTTGTCAGTGAAAACCGTCGCTCTAGTCAATCCACAGACGGATACTTGTCTGTACCAGATGGTCACTCAAACGGGTTAGTCACATTTGTCAGTGAAAACCGTCACTCTAGTCAATCCACAGACGGATACTTGTCAGTACCAGATGGTCATTCAAATGGGTTAGTCACATTTGTCAGTGAAAACCGTCACTCTAGTCAATCCACAGACGGATACTTGTCAGTACCAGATGGTCTCTCAAATGGGTTAGTCATATTTGTCAGTGAAAACCGTCACTCTAGTCAATCCACAGACGGATACTTGTCAGTACCAGATGGTCATTCAAATGGGTTAGTCACATTTGTCAGTGAAAACCGTCACTCTGGTCAATCCACAGACGGATACTTGTCAGTACCAGATGGTCACTCAAATGGGTTAGTCACATTTGTCAGTGAAAACCGTCACTCTAGTCAATCCACAGACGGATACTTGTCAGTACCAGATGGTCACTCAAACGGGTTAGTCACATTTGTCAGTGAAAATCGTCACTCTAGTCAATCCACAGACGGATACTTGTCTGTACCAGATGGTCACTCAAACGGGTTAGTCACATTTGTCAGTGAAAACCGTCACTCTAGTCAATCCACAGACGGATACTTGTCAGAACCAGATGGTCATTCAAATGGGTTAGTCACATTTGTCAGTGAAAACCGTCACTCTAGTCAATCCACAGACGGATACTTGTCAGTACCAGATGGTCACTCAAATGGGTTAGTCATATTTGTCAGTGGAAACCGTCACTCTAGTCAATCCACAGACGGATACTTGTCGGTACCAGATGGTCATTCAAATGGGTTAGTCACATTTGTCAGTGAAAACCGTCACTCTGGTCAATCCACAGACGGATACTTGTCAGTACCAGATGGTGACTCAAACGGGTTAGTCACATTTGTCAGTGAAAACCGTCACTCTAGTCAATCCACAGACGGATACTTGTCAGTACCAGATAGTCACTCAAATGGGTTAGTCACATTTGTCAGTGAAAACCGTCACTCTAGTCAATCCACAGACGGATACTTGTCAGTACCAGATAGTCACTCAAACGGGTTAGTCACATTTGTCAGTGAAAACCGTCACTCTAGTCAATCCACAGACGGATACTTGTCAGTACCAGATGGTCAATCAAACGGGTTAGTCACATTTGTCAGTGAAAACCGTCGCTCTAGTCAATCCACAGACGGATACTTGTCAGTACCAGATGGTCACTCAAACGGGTTAGTCACATTTGACAGTGAAAACCGTCACTCTAGTCAATCCACAGACGGATACTTGTCAGAACCAGATGGTCATTCAAATGGGTTAGTCACATTTGTCAGTGAAAACCGTCACTCTAGTCATTCCACAGACGGATACTTGTCAGTACCAGATGGTCACTCAAAAGGGTTAGTCATATTTGTCAGTGAAAACCGTCACTCTAGTCAATCCACAGACGGATACTTGTCGGTACCAGATGGTCACTCAAATGGGTTAGTCACATTTGTCAGTGAAAACCGTCACTCTGGTCAATCCACAGACGGATACTTGTCAGTACCAGATGGTGACTCAAACGGGTTAGTCACATTTGTCAGTGAAAACCGTCACTCTAGTCAATCCACAGACGGATACTTGTCAGTACCAGATGGTCACTCAAACGGGTTAGTCACATTTGTCAGTGAAAACCGTCACTCTAGTCAATCCACAGACGGATACTTGTCAGTACCAGATGGTCACTCAAACGGGTTAGTCACATTTGTCAGTGAAAACCGTCACTCTAGTCAATCCACAGACGGATACTTGTCAGTACTAGATGGTCAATCAAACGGGTTAGTCACATTTGTCAGTGAAAACCGTCACTCTCGTCAATCCACAGACGGATACTTGTCAGTACCAGATGGTCAATCAAACGGGTTAGTCACATTTGTCAGTGAAAACCGTCACTCTAGTCAATCCACAGACGGATACTTGTCAGTACCAGATAGTCACTCAAACGGGTTAGTCACATTTGTCAGTAAAAACCGTCACTCTAGTCAATCCACAGACGGATACTTGTCAGTACCAGATAGTCACTCAAACGGGTTAGTCACATTTGTCAGTGAAAACCGTCACTCTAGTCAATCCACAGACGGATACTTGTCAGTACCAGATAGTCACTCAAACGGGTTAGTCACATTTGTCAGTGAAAACCGTCACTCTAGTCAATCCACAGACGGATACTTGTCAGTACCAGATGGTCACTCAAACGGGTTAGTCACATTTGTCAGTAAAAACCGTCACTCTAGTCAATCCACAGACGGATATTTGTCAGTACCAGATAGTCACTCAAACGGGTTAGTCACATTTGTCAGTGAAAACCGTCACTCTAGTCAATCTACAGACGGATACTTGTCAGTACCAGATGGTCACTCAAATGGGTTAGTCACATTTGTCAGTGAAAACCGTCACTCTAGTCAATCCACAGACGGATACTTGTCAGTACCAGATGGTTACTCAAACGGGTTAGTCACATTTGTCAGTGAAAACCGTCACTCTAGTCAATCCACAGACGGATACTTGTCTGTACCAGATGGTCACTCAAACGGGTTAGTCACATTTGTCAGTGAAAACCGTCACTCTAGTCAATCCACAGACGGATACTTGTCAGTACCAGATGGTCATTCAAATGGGTTAGTCACATTTGTCAGTGAAAACCGTCACTCTAGTCAATCCACAGACGGATACTTGTCAGTACCAGATGGTCACTCAAATGGGTTAGTCATATTTGTCAGTGAAAACAGTCACTCTAGTCAATCCACAGACGGATACTTGTCAGTACCAGATGGTCATTCAAATGGGTTAGTCACATTTGTCAGTGAAAACCGTCACTCTGGTCAATCCACAGACGGATACTTGTCAGTACCAGATGGTCACTCAAATGGGTTAGTCACATTTGTCAGTGAAAACCGTCACTCTAGTCAATCCACAGACGGATACTTGTCAGTACCAGATGGTCACTCAAACGGGTTAGTCACATTTGTCAGTGAAAACCGTCACTCTAGTCAATCCACAGACGGATACTTGTCTGTACCAGATGGTCACTCAAACGGGTTAGTCACATTTGTCAGTGAAAACCGTCACTCTAGTCAATCCACAGACGGATACTTGTCAGTACCAGATATTCACTCAAACGGGTTAGTCACATTTGTCAGTGAAAACCGTCACTCTAGTCAATCCACAGACGGATACTTGTCAGTACCAGATGGTCATTCAAATGGGTTAGTCACATTTGTCAGTGAAAACCGTCACTCTAGTCAATCCACAGACGGATACTTGTCAGTACCAGATGGTCACTCAAACGGGTTAGTCACATTTGTCAGTGAAAACCGTCACTCTAGTCAATCCACAGACGGATACTTGTCAGTACCAGATGGTCACTCAAATGGGTTAGTCACATTTGTCAGTAAAAACCGTCACTCTAGTCAATCCACAGACGGATACTTGTCAGTACCAGATAGTCACTCAAACGGGTTAGTCACATTTGTCAGTGAAAACCGTCACTCTAGTCAATCCACAGACGGATACTTGTCAGTACCAGATGGTCATTCAAATGGTTAGTCACATTTGTCAGTGAAAACCGTCACTCTAGTCAATCCACAGACGATACTTGTCAGTACCAGATGTCACTCAAATGGTTAGTCATATTTGTCAGTGAAAACGTCACTCTAGTCAATCCACAGACGGATACTTGTCAGTACCAGATGGTCATTCAAATGGGTTAGTCACATTTGTCAGTGAAAACCGTCACTCTGGTCAATCCACAGACGGATACTTGTCAGTACCAGATGGTCACTCAAATGGGTTAGTCACATTTGTCAGTGAAAACCGTCACTCTAGTCAATCCACAGACGGATACTTGTCAGTACCAGATGGTCACTCAAACGGGTTAGTCACATTTGTCAGTGAAAATCGTCACTCTAGTCAATCCACAGACGGATACTTGTCTGTACCAGATGGTCACTCAAACGGGTTAGTCACATTTGTCAGTGAAAACCGTCACTCTAGTCAATCCACAGACGGATACTTGTCAGAACCAGATGGTCATTCAAATGGGTTAGTCACATTTGTCAGTGAAAACCGTCACTCTAGTCAATCCACAGACGGATACTTGTCAGTACCAGATGGTCACTCAAATGGGTTAGTCATATTTGTCAGTGAAAACCGTCACTCTAGTCAATCCACAGACGAATACTTGTCAGTACCAGATAGTCACTCAAACGGGTTAGTCACATTTGTCAGTGAAAACCGTCACTCTAGTCAATCTACAGACGGATACTTGTCAGTACCAGATGGTCACTCAAACGGGTTAGTCACATTTGTCAGTGAAAACCGTCGCTCTAGTCAATCCACAGACGGATACTTGTCTGTACCAGATGGTCACTCAAACGGGTTAGTCACATTTGTCAGTGAAAACCGTCACTCTAGTCAATCCACAGACGGATACTTGTCAGTACCAGATGGTCATTCAAATGGGTTAGTCACATTTGTCAGTGAAAACCGTCACTCTAGTCAATCCACAGACGGATACTTGTCAGTACCAGATGGTCTCTCAAATGGGTTAGTCATATTTGTCAGTGAAAACCGTCACTCTAGTCAATCCACAGACGGATACTTGTCAGTACCAGATGGTCATTCAAATGGGTTAGTCACATTTGTCAGTGAAAACCGTCACTCTGGTCAATCCACAGACGGATACTTGTCAGTACCAGATGGTCACTCAAATGGGTTAGTCACATTTGTCAGTGAAAACCGTCACTCTAGTCAATCCACAGACGGATACTTGTCAGTACCAGATGGTCACTCAAACGGGTTAGTCACATTTGTCAGTGAAAATCGTCACTCTAGTCAATCCACAGACGGATACTTGTCTGTACCAGATGGTCACTCAAACGGGTTAGTCACATTTGTCAGTGAAAACCGTCACTCTAGTCAATCCACAGACGGATACTTGTCAGAACCAGATGGTCATTCAAATGGGTTAGTCACATTTGTCAGTGAAAACCGTCACTCTAGTCAATCCACAGACGGATACTTGTCAGTACCAGATGGTCACTCAAATGGGTTAGTCATATTTGTCAGTGAAAACCGTCACTCTAGTCAATCCACAGACGAATACTTGTCAGTACCAGATAGTCACTCAAAACGGGTTAGTCAC